CTGACAGGCCCCATAGCATGGATCGAGGTGACGTTGGGGCGGAGAGTGTAAATCTCCAGGGCTGGGTGGCCAGATGTGCTTAACTACAATGTGACCTTCTTCAGCGCACTTGAGACCATGTCAAATTTCGGGGTCTGAAAGAAGATTGTTTGGATGGAGCCGCCAGCTCCCAGCGTTTCTAACCAAAGCAGGACCCTGCTCCAGCAAGGCAACAGCTAAGGATGTGAAATGATGCTGCGCAGGTCCACGCTCGTAGGTGCCAACTAGAAAATCCTGCGAGCCTCTTGCAGATGTTCATTGTCTCTTTCATGGGTCAGCCGGAGAAGTCGTAGTGACAACGGCATGAATGAGTGGGTTTCTATGCAGAACACTTGGATGATGGAGGAGTTAAGCGGCGAAAGTTAGCAAATGTTATCCCATCCGTCAAACCGTCACGTGCCATCTTTTTGGGTGGAGCAGTCTCCAGACCTGATCATGGTACTCGTTTCTGCTACCCAAAGGTGGCTAAGGCCGCCTGCTCAACGTCATTGCATTTGAGCACCATTCCGGCAAGGCTGCGCAAGAATGTCCCCGAAGAGCGCCGAGCACAAGGCGCAGGAAAACCGCGGGTGGGTTGCCCCCATTGCGCCACAAAGGTGTGTTATGTATTTCGTTTTTGTCAGCTAGCCAGTCGCGTATGCATCAAAACAATCTGGGTTTGCTTCCGATGGTTCCTCTGACTGCGTTCTTGTTGTTTGCCTCGTTGTTCACCTTTTGTTTTTGGGCCCCTTTCGCCCAGGAATACCATTGGCCTCCCCACAATGTGTGTGTGCACGGAAATAGGGTGAGCGCAAAAATTCCTTATGAAGCTAGTGCATCATCAAAAAGACGCTTGCCACTAAGTCCTGCGAAGCTTTCCCGGTTTTTGTTGGAGTTTGTACTCCTAAGGATCCAGAGTTCCACGAATCCTATATGAAAACTAAACTAGACGACGCCCAAGGACGCTCAAGGACACTCAAGATCATCCAAGAAATAGACCAGACACCCAAAAACACTCACGGTCATCAAAAAAGACCAGACACTCAAGGACACTCAAGGTTATCCAATATATAGACCAGACACTCGAGGACACTCAAGGATATCCAAAATATACACCACACACTCAAGGACACTCAAAGACACTCATGGACATCCTTGAGTGTTCTTGAGTGTCTGATTCAAATAGCGCACGTCTGGCGACCCCAATGGCGCCGGCGACGCCGCAGGGTGAAACAGTTACCCAGGCAACTGGGCCAGGCAACTGGGCGTGGAAAGGGACGCGCCAGGCAACTGCTCTATGGGCTCTTGAAGGTGACGTGCCAGGCGACGTTAGGCATTTTGGCAGGCTGCGGCTTGCCCCTTTTTGGTGTGGAATTAGATGGTGGGAAGGCGTCGACACAGATTAGATTGCCGGCAGCCTTGAGTGAGCCACGTGCCACGCAGGCAACTGTTTTATGGGCTCCCGAAGGCAACGTGCCAGGCGACGTTGGCCATTTTGGCTGGCTGCGGCTCACCCCTTTTTGGTGCAGACATTTCCCTGGACTGGAGCCCTGCGTGGACATCCCGTCTCAGTGAATTAGATGGTGGGAAGGCGTGGACACAGATTGCCTTGGCACGCGCCAGGCAACGTGCCAGCAGGCGATGTTTGGCATTTTGGCTGGCTGCGGCTCGCCCCTTTTTGGTGTGGAAATAGATGGTGTCGTTTGCCCGGTCGGAAACCCTGCGCAGACGTTAGGCACTGGCCACACCAGCCTAGAAGGCCTTGGCCTGCGCCTCTTTTCTTTAGGGTTTCGCAAGCGCGGCTTCAATAGGCAGCCATCCAGCGGTTGAAGGGCGAGCTCCTGACAGCTGGCGGCACTGACTTCACTGTCCTAGAACTGTGCACACAGTTGTTTGATTGGCCGCGCCTTTTGATGCGAGAGGCTATTTTGAAATTACCGTCTCCCTTCACTGCACTACCTGAGTACGGATAGGCGAACTTCTGGGCCTGGCACAAGACCCCGCGCAGGGCGCGAAGTTTGGGCAGGCAAGAAAGCACGCCAAGCTGCTGTTGCGAAGTGGCCAGCCGGAGAGAATTAGATGCATAAAGGTCAGGAAGGTGGCGTTTGACGGCAGCTGCTGTTGGCAGTTCGGAGAACTTCTACACCATTTGCGCCAGCCAGCGTCCAGAAAACCACAACACACGTTGCTTGTTGTCCAACAAAAACGTAGCCCGCTGGCACTGGTGACGATGTACCGACGCAAGCGAAAAGGACATTCCATCCTTGGTGGGCGACGTGGGCGGAGCATCGTATCACGTGATGCCCCTATTGGGGGGGCAATATAGATATGTATGAGCAAGAAAAGATATATATATATATACTTTTCTCAAATCACAAAAAAACACTGGCAAATCATTCTTTGGTTCCGCCCTTCCTTGGAGCAATGGACTCGCTGGATTCATACCTATGAGCAAAGCATCATATAAGTAAACATTCTTCGAGCAAAGCGGAGAATCACATCAACGTGCATCAGTGGCTGTGTGCAAACACACACGCTAAGGTGCGACCGCTTGATGCCAGCAGCCTTCAATCAGGAGGCTCTTGTGCTCCTGATGGGTTCTCCACTGAATGTCTTGCGAACAGGCAAAGGGTCACTTGACTGCAGGGGGCCCAAGTAGACTTGGCAAACTCTGCTCGTCAGCAGCATGCCCATCTAAGTGAGGAGGGATGACCCGGAAAAAAGTCGACCTTTTCTGAGATTGCGTTTTTGGAGCTGGACACATGTCTTTCCAATATCACGCAAGTCCTTCTGGCAACAGGTTTGCGCGTCTGCTCGGGTCGCTGTCACGGTAAAGTCGTTCTGCGCCCGCTGCAGAGGAAGAACATCTGCCATGGCTACATTTCTACGCTTGAAGATGGAGATGATGTAGCAAAGATTTCCTTGGTAAGTTGCACACCTGCTCAGTCAGCCTTTTTGGCGGCGTCGACGCATTGCCTTCCTCGATCTACAGAGTCGACATTGGCAAAGGTAGCTGGGGCGTTACGGTTGGGGCGCTTCACCTTCTTGCTCTTTTTGGGTCTTCTTTGCGACAGCAACAATTCTTTTGGGATATTCGGCTTTCTGCCATCTGCCCGCGGCTCTCGGGGGAATCGCTTGGGCCAGGCGTTGGCGCTGTTGGAAGTTGGGGCGTTTGCGTTTGATAGGTTCCTGGAACATCTGTAGCGTCGGGCTGGAATCCATTGCGCACAGCCTGTGCGGGCTTGAGCAGGTATCTCCCAAGGCTCGGAAAGCCGTTCTAAGTTGCGGAGCTCCCATAAGTGAGGAGTTGTATAGCTTAGTCTGTCTTCTATGTTGCTCTTGCGTTGCTTCTCCCATGCTTCGGATAGTCTGCTCATCCAAGCCATGCGCCGCCACAAGGCGAGCCCTTGCTACAACCTTCCCGATGGCAGTTTGCGCGAGCCAAATATCCTCAGGTAGAGTGTAAGGAGTGGGTCAGAGCACACCTTTTGCAATGTGTGACCAACAAGACAGAAAATGGGATGAATCAAGGTTGGTTTCTCCACGCTTCGAGGTAGACGTCCCACGTGTAACTCCTGTTACCTCACTGTTGCGCGCGATTCCTCCGACAGCAACAGCGCATCCATATCCAGGCAAGTGGATGCGTATTGTATTTGTTGTTTGCTGTTTGGGTACCCAGCGTCTGTAAATAATCCTTACAGTGAGGTCTGGTGTTGGATCGAAAACGGCCCCAGAAGGAACACTTGCAGAACACCACGAAAAGAACCACAACCTTATACAGGGCCATTTTCAAGGTTGCGTGGGGCCCAAGGCATCTCTTATTTCGACTTGATGCATTTTCTTGCTATCTCTGCAGCCAAGCATGTATCCAGGTTACAGCTACGATCGCACTGCTGACGCTTCAAGAGTTAGGGTGTTGCGCCAAAACTTTCAGGTTTCATTCACTTGTCTTCAATGGAGCGTGTCCTTAAGTTTCTATGGACTTTCTCTACCTTATATCCGGACCCGTGCATGAGGCACGACATATCCAGCAGCGATGGTCTCGATCAATGCTTCGCAAATCTCAAAAGGGATACCATTGCCCTCCCCACAATGGAGGGTTTGTGCGTGCGGAAATACGGAGAGCGCAAAGAATCCTTATAAAGCCAGTGCATTATCAAAAAAAAGCTTGCCACTAAGTCCTGCGAAGGCTTCCAAGTTTTTGTTGGAGTTTGTACTCCTAAGGATCCAGAATTCCACGAATGCTATGTGAATAGGCAAGGGTTCCACGAATGACCGGACCTTCCACAAAGTTAGTGGAATAGGCTTCTACTAAGCCCTTTCCGTGCACTGCCCTCACAGCTAGGGACGCCAGAAACAGGGACGCCAGAAACAAAAAACTGTAGACTATAGACACTAAAGGACATCCAGGGAAATTTCAAAAATAGTGACTCAGAACACACGGAGACTTGAAGACACTTAAACAAGTCTGAGCCAGGACACAAGCAAACACTCAAGGACACTCAGGGTCATCTAAAAGAAAAACTAGACGACGCCCATGGACGCTCAAGATCATCCAACAAATAGACCAGACACTCAAGGACACTTCAGGACACTCAACGTCATTCAAAAAAACCAGACACCCAAGGACATTCAAAGTTATCCAAAAAGACCAGACACTCAAGGATGCTCAAGGACACTCAAGGTTATCCAAAATATAGACCAGAGACTCAAGGACAGTCACGGACATCGTTGAGTGTCTTTGAGTGGCTGCCTCGAACTTGGTGGCTTGACTGTCCTTGAGTGTTTCTGAGTGTCCCGTTCAAAATCCTCCCGGATTGCACGTCCCCTCCCCGGTGCCGCCCGCCTGGGCGTCAGCTAGGCAGGGGTCGGCGGATTCAAACTTGATTTGTACACATATAGAGCACAGCACCTTCAGGTCCATCGCAATGTTCATAGACTCGCGCACGCAAAGGCAAGTGATTCTGATATCCTTTTCCAAGGATGATGTGCCTCCACGATCTTCACAGGGCCTTGTGGCGCTCTCAGCGATAAAGGTCCTGGACTGGAGAGTGTCATTTGTAAAGTGGAACACATGTGACAACCAAACGATGAAACACCCAGGTCTCCGGATCAATCATCACGCCCCAGCCGATTATGACACCTCAGCCCCAGGCAGCCTTTGTCTTCAAGTTACCTTTACCTTACTATGTTTACTGCAAACAATTCGAGCATCTAAGTTTTTTGCAAGCATGCAGACTTGAGGAAGAGTTACCAACATCTCCAGAAAGCGCAAAGACTCCTTCCATTTGCATTTTGTTCGGTGTTGCCCGTGCACTCAGAAAACTTTGGCAGGCCGATCTCGGTATCGGCAACTACGCACAGACCTCAGTGGCCAGCTCGCTTCACTACACAGAACTGGCCTTTGTTTCTCTTTATATACATATCTTCTTTGTGAGTGACAGACGTCACTCACTGTCGTTTCACTAAAGTAGCTGTAGGTCCAGCTCAAAATGGGCACTGACAATGAACACATTTAGCGGCAAGTGCATTTCTCTCGATGACCATGTTGAGTTGAACATATGCAAGGCCACACCTATGCCAGCACAATACAGCTCTGGGCAGCAACTGGACAGCATTGGATTATCGATCAGAATAAAGGGGACGTTGCATGCTTGATCTTGCTTGATTTGCCACAAACAGAGATAGATATTGTCCTGTAGTTGTACAGCAAGAAGGCGCCCAACTTTAGGAAAGTTGTTTCTAGTTCTGGGATAATCCCATGACCCAAGTTCGCAATTTCAGTTGAACGAATTGGAGAACCCCGCGCATGCAAAGTGCCTAACAACTTCTCAGGTACCAAACGCCATCTTTGACGCCTGGTTATCCTGCCATGCGCATCCTCCGATGAAGTTTCTTGCAGCGTGATTGTGTCGACATGCTTCACGGGCAGTAAGGACTTTATATAGAAGATCAACTGTTTGTTAAAAGGAACTAACAGCAAGACTTACAGCAGACGCAACATTGCATCCTTTCACCCACGCACCAGAGTGAGTGGAGACGAAGCAAATGACCTGTGAAACGCCATTGCGGCCAAAAAGGCTTACGAACAGTTTGGCTCCACCATTGATTTGCGCAAGACAAAAAGCTGGATTGTTGTAGGCATTAGGTTTGTGTTGGAGGATTGCAGCCTGCAATGAATATGCCGCTCCTTCAAGCAAGCTGTAGGGTAGTTGACTATACAGCCTTTGCTTCCACACCTCAGCAGCAAGATGTCGATCTACAACTGGGCAAAGTACGACCCCAAGTACTACCTGAATGGAGCGTTGTGCGGAGGGATTTGCTGCTCCATCACCCACGGTGCTTTGTGCCCTGTGGACGTGGTGAAGACTCGTATCCAACTTGACCCCATCAAGTACCAGGGTGGATTGTTGAGTGTCGGAAGGCAAGTCGTCGCTGAAGAAGGTGCCTCAGTGCTCGCTACAGGTCTGGGACCAACAGCGGCTGGTTACTTCGTGCAGGGATGGTTCAAGTTTGGAGGCAACGAGTTTTTCAAGATCCAGTTTTGCCAGTCTTTGGGTGACCAAAAGGCGTGGGACAGAAAGGCTTTCATCATGCTTGGAGCATCTGCCTGTGCTGAGTTCATTGCAGATATCTTCCTGTGCCCTTTGGAAGCTGCTCGCATTCGTCAAGTGTCTGACCCCACATTCCCCAAGGGCACGTTCACTGCAATGAAGGAGTTGATGGCCAGGGAGGGAATCATGGGTTGGTATGCAGGTCTTGTGCCCATTCTCTTCAAGCAGATCCCTTACACCATGGCCAAGTTTGCAGTCCAAGGTAACACCGAGATTGCCATTTACGCCAGCTTGCCGACCAAGAGAGAGAACTTGAGCCATGCTTCCAAGATGGGCGTGTCTGTTACTTCCGGCTTCATTGCGGGGGTGGCAGCTGCGATCATTTCACATCCTGCCGATTCTCTCCTTTCCAAGATCAACAAGAAGGGGGCAGGCGGTGACGGTGGCATGGTTTCTCGCTTGTGGAACATCGCCAAAGAGACTGGTTTCGCGAAGCTTTGCACCACAGGTCTTGGACCAAGGTGCATCATGATCGGCACCCTGACAGCGGGCCAGTTCTTGATTTTCGACACGTTGATGCCCATTATGGGAGTTGAGAAATTCCACTTCCACGACCCATCAAAGCCTCATTGAGCAATCTGACAAGACACATTTTTTGCGATTTTTGTCGCGGTGAAACTCTGCCCAACGGGCAAGGACACGCAGCTCAGTGGATTCAAAATGTGAGTCACTTTACAGAGTATTGGTCCAACAGGAGGTTTAACATCGCTGGTGATTTCTTAATTCGAGGAATTTACATGGATTTATTATATATATATTGATTTAGTAAGTTTAATCCGATCCTTTTAAATATAAACCAATATATTATTTGTATTGAATAAATTGACGATTTAAAATGATTTATTTTGTAAAAATGCGTGTATTAAAATATATGTACGATAATTATAATTCGATTAAATAATAAAATTGATTTATGGATTATTATAATATATAGGTATTTTTTTAATAGGTAGGGGAAATATTTTTATATATTAAAAAAATATTTTATAGAATGAATTAAAATTTAGGTATTATCGATTCTTATTTTTGGCTTATTGTATATTTGATTGGTTTTATATTTTTTATTTTTATCTTAAGATTAATGTATAATTTGAATAATTTGTTTGTTCGTAACGTTTGTCCGATTAACGTTTTAGATCTCGGCGATAGATATAGGTACGTACTAATCGAATTATATTTTGGCATATATAAATAAAAAAATTGAATTAAATAGTTGTTGCAATTTATAATAATTTGCATAATTAATTAAATAATTTCGAAATTTAATAAAGGATATTGGTAAATTTACGATTGGTTAGATCCATGGTAGATTCTTTTTATTAGATCTTTAATTTATATTATTCTGTAATAAATGCGGCCGGAAAGTGTTAGACGGAAGCCTAAAAAATGAAGATTGGGCTATTGTTAGAGGAATGATAGGTTTCCTTTGCCTAGGCATAATTTATATTGTTCTGTGCGCAAAGGCGGTTGGTAAGTGTTAAACGGTAATATCGAAACCCAATAAAAGAAGGTTAGGTGGACAATTCCACGGCCAGAGGGATGGCAGGCTCCTTCCGCACAATCCTTGATCTTCATTATATTATATTAAAGGGATGGTAGGATATGGGTAGGTTTTTTTTGCCATTGCCATAACCTTAACCTATATTATTTCGTTTTGGATGAGACGGTAATTTCGAAATCTAATAAAAGAAGGTTGGCAAGCCTACGGCGAGAGGCGTGGAAGATATTTGCTATTAAATCCTTACATAATCCTATTTTATAATACATATAATATATTGAGAAAGGTTTTGAAAGGATATTAAATAACAAAATTGAATTTATGGCTAGAACATATTCCGCCAAATCCATAGGCCATATTATTTCGCGAATACAAATACGAACGAATAGGATGATATAAGATGATTTCGATTTGATATATATATATATGTATGAAAATGAAAATATTGAATTAATAGTAAAAGATTTATATATTAAATTAGAAATTTACAAAAATTATAAATTTAAAAATATATTAGGATTTAATAATTATTTATAATTCGTTATGACCAATTTTGATTCCGTAACATGTTGGGTTTAAGCGCTTTGACGGTTGGTGACTCTTTTGTTGCCATGGAGGGTGACGATGGTGGATGCACCACCAATGCTGGGGAGGCCGTTGAGATGCTGAATGGCCTGACCAGCTTGGGGAGCGAGAGCTCGTCGGCAGCGCAGCTGGCTGCTTGGCTAGGCCTTGCTCGGAGACCATGGCATATTGATTATATCAAAGGGCAGGTCAAGGCCGCGGTAATGATGGAGGATCTAGAGGGTAGAGCAGATGGATGGTTGGCATCGAGTTCAGTGCAAGGCATACAGGATGTGCGGCACACAGAGTCGAAGATGAGGAAGAAAGTGCTTGAGCCGGAGCCGATCGAGGTTATCGTGCCCCCAAAGCCGAAGAGAGGCTTGCTAGGCAAAAGTGTTCGCTTGAGGAGCGGACGCATAATTGCTGAAGAAGCTGTGGAGGGTGGAGAAGTTGATCAATGAACTTCGGTTGTTAGGGCGCTAGTGCTGGGGGAGGTTGAAAAGGCAGTCAACCCAAAGAGGGCGGCAGATGCTCTCATGGGGAAATACAGGGTTTCGACAGTTAGGCGATACCTTGGGTATTGGCAGAAGGTTAGAATTTGGGCAGAGATGACGTCAAAGCCGGGAGCACGACCTTCATCGATGCAATGGGTAGGTTACCTCTATGCTAAAGAAGAAGAAGGAATGGATCCTTCAGCACCACTAGCAGTGAGCACAACTATTACGTGGTTTCAGAGGACTGCAGGAGTGGAAGAAGAGGAGATCTTCGCAAATCAGCATTCTCCCTAGCATGGTGGTGAAGGAATTGATCAAGAAGTTGGAAGAGAATGAATCACCCAATGAAGAGGGCCCCGCGGTGGCCGAGCTGCTGCATAGCGCCCATGGAGACGCTGGTAGTGGATGAGGAGCAGCCGCTGCAGGTCAGGGTTGTTGCATGATTCAAGCTTGTGAAATTTTGGGCCTCCATGAGGTTCGATGACGCTGCACACTTACGGATAGCAGACCTGAAGTAGTATTACGACGGGTCCCTGGGCGAAGTCATGAGGCAGACGAAGACAACAGGTACGGGGAAACGGGTGCGAGAACTTCCCGGGGGTGATGCCTATGCGCTCGGGATCTTCCATGGTGGACACATCGGCGAGAAGCGAATGTCGTATGCTCAAGCAGTTGCTGGGAGCCAGGAAGTCTTCAACCTATTGGAGGGCTACGAGAAGGAGCTCATCCCACGGGGGTGGGAAAGGTTCTGGACTGAGCATTTAGAAAGGTTGACCTTGGCTAGTGGACTGGCCGCACTGGGTGCGCCCAAGGAGGACCGCGATCTTCTAGGGCGATGGAACCCAGAAGGCGCAGATGTTTACATCCGTACGTACAACTCAGTGGTACGGAGGATGCAGCGAAAGTTTGCCAAAGTAATCAGGGGCGAGAGGGCCTATGAAAGTCTCGACGAGGGTTCGATTATGGAGGAGTTTAAGAGTTGGCTGCATTTGCATTGGATCGTCCCGGAAGACAAGGCAGAGAGCGCAGTGGAGGCCTGGAAGAAGAGGTTGAGGATTGGGGATGGTCGTCCGTTTAGCGTGTCGGAAGGTTCCACGACCATCTACGAAGGCAACAATCCAAGTAAGCCAAGGTTTGCGATTGCTCCCAAGACCTATACTCGGTGAAGCACGAACCATCGCAAATGTCACCAGAAGGGCCAAACAATACAAACACTTGACATGGAAGATATTGCTAATCCCTTTCGATAAGATCAGGCTTTGCCTCCACACTGATGCAGCTTTTGCAAATGCTAAGGAGCCCAAACAGGATACATTGTTGGAGTGAATCACTACCGATGAACTACGAGCCGGAACATGTTCCAGCAATATGGGGTCCGGCAACGCAACCAATACCAATACTTGTGCTTGTTGCTTCCTATCCATCGAGCTGATTCTTCGACATTTGTGACATGAAGGTTGTGCTGTAGCAACATTTGCAGTTCTTTCTCATTTGGGTACCAGTCACACAGCGTGTCAGCATCGGCGTGGACAAAATATAAATGATGCCTATCAGGGTCCGAAGTGGCCACCAGGGCGGCTAGGACTCCCCGGGGCATGGCAATAGCACCCAGGCGTGCAATGATCTGATATTGCGGCCAGAGGCAGCGAATTGCTAAGGCAATCACCGCTCCTGTATAACTGCCCGCACTGAACCTTTCGATAATAAAGTGCCCGGGGGAGCTTACTCTGCCGTGCACAGATGACCAAGCATTGGTAGGGTGGCAATCAATTGCATGGGCTGAATTGACAAAAGTTTCCACCAGAGACCGTTGAGGAAGGCCTTGTGTGGCAACCTCCGGTGCGCCAGAAGCAACCGGGCGGCCAACAGCATAATTTGAGTACGTCATCCTAGGAGCTCCCATCGTTCGCCAGGACCCTGCGTATGAGCAAAGAGGGTAGCAAGTTCGTGTATTCCCGTAGTGTACCCGGCTGCTACCCCTGTTTTTTTCCCCCACCACATCCGCTGGAGACAGCGACGGCCCATAGACATGGCTCTCACTAACAGGAGGGCAGGTGCAGTGGAAATGCGGAGGGATTGGGCTGTCGAGTGCACCGCCACCAAGCCCCCCGCAATTGATCTGCAGAACATCTGGTATCGTTGGGGCATCATCTCCTATCCAATACCAATTTTGTTTGGCGACTGCCTATAGGAGCATGTTCCATGCCCATTCAGTTTGCCGCTGGTGATAAATGGCATCAAATACTTCCTGCGCAATGTTTTCCAGCGGCATCACCTGATTCTGCCATTGCTGGAACAGAGTGTGGTTGGCACGGAGAAATCGTTGCTTCTCTCCCGAAAAGAGGCAAGCTCCTGGGCGAGCGCCTGCTCTAACTCTGCCTGGGGGCAAGAGTCGCCATCCTTGTAAGTGATTGGTAAACCAATCCCTCCTGCAACTTGGGTCCATGAGACGAACAGGTGGCTCTCTTTGCGGGCTGATCACCGGGTCAATAGCCATTGGGGAGTCTGTGCTCAATTCAGACGGCGACTGAGATGTGTTGGTTGCCATAGTTGCATCATCTCCTGGCTGCTGTGCCACGGCTTGCAGGAGCATTTTAACCCTTGACTCTGAGTCATCTTTTTGACGGGGTGTGGACAGAGACGAGATTCGGAGGACCGCAGCTAAGGCTGCCACCCTCCGCTGGGCCCGGAAACAAGTCCGTGGGTGGTTTCTCAATTGCCCGCCACCTTAGTAAAAGGCAGAATCGCAAACCTGCATCCTCCCACGGACTTCCGGCACCAGCACCAGCAACCTGTCTCCACCATTCGCTCAGCCAACTCATAGCGCCAGCACCGACACCCGGCACTAGCACCCAGCAACCTGTCCACCACATGCACAGCCAACTCGCAGCACCAGCACCAGTACCGGCACCCAGCTCCCCGGAGAGGGAGCAGAATCCCAGCCGAAGAAGAGGCGAGCCGACAACCTCGAAGAAGACCGGGATGGTTCGTATGTGGTCGTGTATGCAGGCGAGCTGGGCACGGAACTTTGCATCGGCTCGGAGAGGGCAGCTGCTAGATGGCTAGGCGCCGGACCTTCCTGAAGTCAGAGGTCCATGAACAGTTGCCTGAGCCTGAGCAGTATTCAATGCGCCACAAGCTATGCTGGGGAAAGCCCGGATCGGCCCTTAGCAAGTCCACAAGCGACTCAAATGACGAGCTGGACTTGAGCGATTGAGGAGACTTCGATCGTTTGAGAAGAGAAGGATGGGAGAAAAGGGGCCGTCCAAACGTCGACGTTTGGACGGCCACTTTTTCGGAAGAGACGCTCCTATCGCTTGGGGCGGAGGTGAGGGACGGGGCAGGGGGGTGGACACTGCGCAAGCCGCACGGGAGAGCGCCCACGGTAGTGGGGCGTCGGCCCAGGAGGTGGTTGGCTGGGCAGCGCCGGACGCGGGAGCCCCGCGGTTGGTATAAGCTGGGTCGCACCCGAGAGAGAGCACTTGCATCGCATGTGAGTGGAGGGAGAGCACTGGCTTGCGGGTTGTTGTCATGGCGTCGCTTGTTGTGTGTGCAATTGAGAGTAGCACTCTTGACGCATAGGAAATCAGGCATAGCAGTTTGGGACGCATTCCAGACCGGGAATTTGGGCTCGATGTCTCGGATAACATTATCTGAGGAGGAAGGGGCCGCCGCCCTCAAAGCGGCAGGAATTGACATCAAGTACTTCTTCGAGCGGCATGAAGTGGCGCCGGACAATCAGAAGATATTTTGCCACTCTGGCGTGACCACGCTTGAGAAGTTGTCCAATTTCGCCAAGGACAAGGAGGATTTGATTGCGGTCCTCAAAAAGCACTGGGGGCTGGATCAGGAGAGGAGCCTGGATGAAAGAGTCCAGGTGGCAGCAATGATCTATGCATACACGAATGCTAGGACAAGAGTGCAGAGGACCGCGGAGGTAGATGTTGAGTACGATACCCAACAGTGGATGCGGCCGATAGTTGCAGGGGAGTGGGCAGCGATGAGGTCAGCCATTGAGAAGCGCTATGGCCAGATTGAAGACAAGATTATACCAGCCAAGGAGGTGGTGGAGAAGAAGTTAGCCGAGGTGGAAGCTGGCGAATACAGGGCAGAAGACCTAGCAAAGATAATGTCGAAGGACGAGGTCGAGCCCGACACGGTTATCCCAATCTGGGACGCAAAGGGGAGGCTGGCCATGAGGAGAGGGTCGACAAAGGTTGCAGAGCCCACGAATGCAGAAGAGTTGAGAAGGAGGCTGACCGTGTGGAAGAATATGATGGTAATGGTCTCGTTGAACGAGACCATCGAGCAGTACAAGGACTACTTGCTTGGCGAATTCGCCTATGGACTGTCAACAAAGGACTCAGATGGTCAGACATTCGCAAGTCCGCCATGGAGCTTGGTCCTCTCCTATGAGAGGGCAATGAGAAAGCAGATGGTCAAGATCATCAACACAGAGGGGAAGCCTTTGGTAGTTGCCACGCAAGCAGCAGAAAGGGAAGCCTCAGACCCATTGTGAGTCTCATATCCCTGATGATGATCCTATTTGCTTCAGGTTCAATACACCAGGCGAGAAATGCAAAGCAAAGAAATGCAAATACCGCCGTGTCTGCGGGATATGCTATTCAGAGAAACATGCATTGTTCCAGTGCAACCCAAAGAGCCGATAAGATGCTCCGGCCCCGGATACAACGGGGTCGAAGTGAGGTGTGTTGGCTGTCCTTTATGTATTCTGCGGACGCAGGCGGCGGAATTCGATTGTTGATTTCCTCAGGAGGCTTGCAAATGCACGTGGCATCCGGCTTGAGATTACAGAACTCGATATACAGCGTGATCGCAAGTTAGATTTGATAGTTCCTTCAATTCAGAAAAATGGCTGCAGGAAATTGCTGAAGGCAGGTATTTTGCAGTCATTGTAGCACCACCTTGCTCCACTTTCGCTAGGGTTGTGTGGGCGAATGACAGGGACCCGTATCCTTTGAGGAGCTTTGCATATCCCAGGGGCTTCAAGTGGAATCGAGGGCCACGATTTCACAAGGCAGCATTTGGTACAACATTAGCTGACTTTTCCTTCGAGGCCATGAAGCGACAATTTAGGTCACGGAGGAGGATTGGGATGATGGAATAACCAGAAGACCTGGATCGCACATCGTATGAGAGTGTACCAGGACATAGGCTTGCATCCATGTGGCAGTTCCCACCATTTGAGGCACTTTTAAACATGCCCGGAATTCAGACAGTGGTGTTTGCACAGAGCCATTTTGGCACTGCAACGCCAGGATCCATGCACCTCTGCACGCATGTATGTATGAAGGCAGACCTCGATTTGATGACAATGGCTAGTATGTCGGGCCGCTCCCCAAACAACCAGCTACTAAGGGTTTGATTGGCCGCATTGGAGGTCAATTCAAGACAGTAAGCTCAGCAGCCTAGCCTCCTCAACTATGCAAATGGGCGGCGCAAGCTATTCTCTCCTCCTTCGATGAAGAATGCAACAGGGAGCGAAAGGAGAAAACAGAAGAAAACAAGACATCTGCCGGGGCTGAATTTCCACCGTTGAAGAGGAGGAGGACGGGTGATGAAAATTTAAATTCGGTAGTAGTGGATCCTATGGAACCCCCTTTCCCCGGAGGAGGGGAGGGGAGGGTTAGATCGTGCAGGTGGAAGGGCTTCGAGGCCCCCTTTCATGACGGACGAGGGTTGGCCTCGCCGGGGCGTTGGCGGCCGGCAGGCAGGAGGACACCGGAGGGTGATGCTTGGCCATGGTTGGGGAAGCTCATTTTCCTTGAGGCCCTGAAGGTCCTGGGTAGTGTCTCGGAGGGGGAAAGAGAGGCTTTTCGCATGGCTAGAGGTGGAGGAAGCTTCAATTTGGTGAAGGATGAGGCGTTTTTGGAGGCTACGAGGTCGTTGATCGCCAAGAGGCCGGGTATTGAGTGTCAACGTGCGCCGGAGGAAGTGTTGCAGGAGGCAGGAGACCCTAATGCAGACTTCCTTGAGAGAGCCAAAACAGACTTCCTAGTCGGGGTGTTGAAGGAGCTTCCCAGGACTCCTCTTTGAAGAATAGACAAGGTGGGCGCTGGAGAGAGAACTATGGGAGGAGGCGGTCTGGCAAAAGGATAACTACGCGTCGGCTGGGGAGCATGAGGAGTACCTTAAGCAACATTTAGACCAGGAGGTCAAGGACGGGCTCATGCACTGCATGTCCGAGAGAGACTTCATAGAGGAGTATGGCGACAACAGAGCAGTAGCGTCATTGGCAGTGTTGGCTGAGGATGCAATCACAGGCAGGAGGAGAATCATACACGATGCAACGCATGGAGCGCGGGTCAACCATAGAATCCAATGTCGTGACAAGGTCAGAATGCCGGGCCCTCGGGAGAAAGCGCACCGGCGCTTCAAATACCAGGCATCAGAACAGGGCCTCTTAGCACGCAAGGCATCGAGCAATTCGGAGACCATCTATGTCAACCGGATGGGCACTTTCGGAGTTCCGTCACCGTATTGGTGGGGAAGACTGAGTGCAGCTTTGATGAGGCTCACACATTGGGTGGTTGGCCCGTCGTATAGGTGTGTGCCGACGACTTGGAGGTTCTGGGGTCAGGCCGGGACGGTAGGAAGGCAGCATCCTTTCCTTCTCGGTCATAACAGCCTTCGGAGCCCCTTTCAAGTGTGCGAAGCAGCGTGGGGGCCTGGTCACTGAGTGGGTCGGCATCACGACCGATTACTCCATCTCTGCCATGGGGCTTTCTGAGAGGAGGGCGACTTGGGTCGTCGAGTGGATCTCCTCGTTGATGAGTAGGTCTCGTACCGGGAGTTTGCTGCTGGCCTGGGACGTTTGGGCTTCGTTTCACTAGCACTTCCGTGGGAGAGGTCATTACTGGGCCCCCTCTATATCTAGACAGATGCAAAGGCCACGGATCGGCGTGCATGGCTTGGGGGCTGGATTGAGGAGGATTACAGATGGGATTCGATGGAGGTGACCGAGGCTAACGCACCTTGGTTATATGCAAAGGCCAAAGACCCAAAGAGAGTGATTGCGGCTTTGGAGTTGATAGCAACGATCATAACCATCAAACTATGGGTCAATAGTGAAAGTGACCGAGCCGAAATCATGGCCCAGGCTTTCACTGACAATAAGGGGAACTCCTTCATCGTGAAGAAAGAGTTGTCCACAAAATTTCCCATCACCCTGCTGGTGATAGAATTGGCTGAGACCTTGAGGTCCAAAGATTCTTTTACCATTCTGGCGTGGGTCCCCCGTGAGAGAAACACCTTGGCAGATGCCTTGACCAACCTTGATTTCGAGGCCTTTGACCTTGGGTTGAGAGAGAGTGTCTGTGAAGATGGCTTGAGGCGGTTGGTCATGGACGACCTTATGGAGAGCAGCAAAGTGCTTTTTGATGAAATCAAGGCACACAAGCAGAACAAGAAGAGTGGCGTAAAGACCGGATCCAAGAAAACTCAGAAGTTCTTCACTAAGTGGACCTCCTGACAGATCTAGGAGGCACCCCGCTTTAGGGCGCCCCTGAAGTGGGGCGGCAGGGAGGTCTTGTCACCCAAGAGAAAAGGCGCACGCTTCGCTGCTTGGGGGTTTTGGTCCTAACATGTTCATTCAGTCGAAATTATTCATGATTCGTCATGACCAATTTTGACTCCGTAATATGTTGGGCTCAAGCGCTTTCACGGTTGGTGACTCTTTTGTTCCCAACCCCCCCCCTCCCAAAAGAGTCTTGCAGGTTGGCCGCGCCTCCTGCTAGGCGTGACCCGAGACGCTCGTGGGACGGGTATGGAGGTACCCCGCTTCAGGGCGCCCTGAAGTGGGGCGGCAGGGAGGTCTTGTCACCCAAGAGAAAAGGTGCACGTTTTGTTGCTTGGGTTTTTGGTCCTAATATGGCCACGAAATCTGCATTTCAAGGTTCACCAAGTGTTGTGCCTGTCACGAAATCTGCACTTCCAGGTCCACCAAGTGCTCTACCTGCCACAAAATTTGCACTTTGAGGTTCACCAAGTGTTATGCCTGCCACGAAATCTGCATTTCGACGCTCACGAAGTGCTGCACCTGCCATTCACATCTGCACTTCGAGGTTCACCCAGTGCTGTGCCTGCCACGAAATCTGTACTTCCAGGTCCGCCAAGTGCTGTGCCTGCCACGAAATCTACACTTCGAGGTTCATCAAATGCTGCGCCTGCCACGAAATCTGCACTTCAAGGATCACCAAGTGTTGTGCCTGCCACGAAATCTGCACTTCGAGGTTCACCAAGTGCTACACTTGCCACGAAATCTGCATGTCGACGCTCACCAAGTGCTGCACCTGCCACGAAATCTGCACTTCGAGGTTCACCCAACATTGTACCTGCCACGAAATCTGCACTTCCAGGTCCACCAAGTGCTGTGCCT